TCCACATGAATCGCAGATGCCTCTAATTGACATGTAATCTACGGTCATTAAGCCCTAAGGATCCATGGGGTGCATCGTGATAATCCGTCGGAAACGCGTTAGACCTTCAATATAACATCGGAGTCTCAAGCAGTTAGGTCGGAAGTCCTGTCCCTATCATACGAGGCCAATGCATGACCCGGACCTGGTGTTCTGAGGAAACGTCGCAGGCTTTGCGAATCTACCAGTCCAGCACTCCCAAGGACTAGCGTTCCTACCAATGTAATGACCCCGGTGAAGATGATTAAGCTAGTGAAGTGCTTGTCGTCGATCTCCTTGAGGAAAGCACCTCCCGTGGGTGTCCCTACCAGAGTCGCGATCCCAATCACCAGATATACGGAACCTAGCGGCGACTCGATACGTTAGTGAGTCTACGCGTCGCTCAAACGCAGTGACGGACCTAAGCGAGCACCATAGACCTCCCTCGGGGAGATGGTAGCAATGTAAGTGGGGAGCAGAGAGACGTATGCGCCTGTATCGTAGACACATGAGTATTAGTGGCCATCATTGAGATTGCTAACGTGCATGCACACCTGAAAACAAGCCGTAGAATACAGCGAAGGCAGTGATGGACGCCGTATTCCGCGAGGGCAGCCAGACCCCCAACACCAAGGCGCCGCAAATCCCGGCGGAGGGAACAAATACAGTCAAGCTATCCTCACATTCGGTCAGCTTCAAGTTGGGTGTCGATATGATGACCGGGATACTTGCGTGCCGAATCGATCTGCCATGAAGCCTGGAAGAATTCGCGAGAGCACGTTCATCGCGTTCATGATGGCGAGCAGGTAGTTGCCGATGCGAGGGTCTACCCCACGGAAGCTCGCATAGGTTTGTATGTAGAAGTATGGTATGAACAGCGCGTAGAACAACCTATCGAAGTCATGCACGTCAGCCGACTCAGTTCAAATAGAAGTATTGCGCGACACTCACAGGAACCCTCCGATTGTCGCGAGGACATACCGCGGGTCTTTCCAACCACCCAGGTTGACGGCCGTCCGCAAAGAGATATGTCCCGAGAGCGGGAGACGCGTACGCATCGTAAGGCATGAAACGGTCAGGCAGCCCATAATCACAAACGCGACGACTCGCACCGCCCACGGGAAGCCGATCTTGGGAATGAGAGTCTCGAGGATGATGGGGAAAACGACGCCGCCGGTCGCGCTGCCGCCAGTCGCCAATCCGATAACGAGCGCCCTCCGACGGCGGAACCAGTGTCCGAGCAGGGCTATTGAGGGACTGAAGCTGAGAATAATGTGAGCGAGGCCAGGGACATGGAGAGCTGATGAAAAAGACCTACAGAAGCGCAAGGCCGATGCCGAAAAGTAGTCCTTGTGCTAAGAAGAGTTGATACGCTTGATCCTTTTGCGCGAGGGAGACCATCATCATCGAGAACACTGAGATGACGGACCCAAGCGGTATGATAATCTTGAGCACGAAGTATCAGCTATAGGACGCGTCATGAGTGATGCAGCGATACTTACGGTAGTGCCGTAGGCGTCAAATACTCTGCCCGCAACGGTGCCTAAAGAATACAGCAGACAGATTTGGAGGGAGCCAATGAGAGATATCGAGGATGATGATGAAGAAGGTAGGAGGCTTGTCTGGTAATAGTCTTGAAACGTTCCCTGCAATTCGCCCATGTCAGTAATACTCGGTAACCGTTTCGGAGACAACCCACATATGCAGTGGTCATCCCCGCAGACGCGAAGAGTGCAAGCGAACACCCGAGGCAAACAGTCCATGCTTCCCTTCCTCCATCCGGGACGAACTCGAGTTGTGGGTCCGCATCTGAATCTACATGCGTCACCTCGTCTCGACGCTTCTCGGGACAATTCTGGAGTTCCGGCTTGCGTTCGAACATCGCGTCCGCCGTGTTCTGATGTGGAGTCTGATGGTAGGGTCGACTCCTGTGAATGCCTAGCAGGTGAAGGGTGAGTATCCAGTGAGAGCTCAGGCTGAGGGGTATAATAACTCGAGTCTCGACTCTTATAATATCGAAAGAGTCCGAAAAGCCGTCGGAATGAAAGACCATCTTCCGGGTCATTTCCGTTTACTGCAGACACAACTGAGCCACGAGAGGTTTGTAGATGACGCTCCATTCGTCTTGGGTGTCGGCTACAATCACCAACGATTGCGGATGTTCTACTCACATGCTTCAAGAGCCACAGATGCTTAAGGCTCGGAAAGATGACCCAACAACCCGTCCTGGCATGCTAGCAGTATCGTTCGCGGCTATACGATATGGAAGAGCTATCTGACACAGTATTCCGAGACTGAGTCAGCATCGACACCGAAGAAGCGACGAGCGTGCATCTCACGGAACAGCGTCATCCTTTTGTCAGCATTGAAGCACCGCGCTTGTGTTGAAGAGAGAAAACGTGATTGAACATTAGGCCTCTGACGAGGTGAGGATATATTATGCGTCCGTGTCTCCATGATTACACTCGCGCGAGGAGCTACCGAGCATGACGATACTCGCGCGCGGGGATCGCCCAAGCGAGAACAAGAAGGCGACATCTCACTGGAGACCCAGCCACTGCTTACACGCGAGCATCTCATCCTGAGATATCTCCGTTAGTGCGCGCGCGATCGGTAGCGATGTAGCGCACTCACATATGGTATCTCTAGTAATTCTTGAATGTCGAGCCTCACCCCCTTTGACTGTTTGAGTGCGAGCTTCCTCAACGACTTCGCGTCGCGCTTCGCGATGGGCTTCCCACGCCCATCAACGCCGGAAGCCTTGTACCTCCGCGAAAGTACCTCGAGAACGCCTTCAATCACCGCAACTCCGGTGATAAGTGAGGCGGGATACTGTAGAATGTCGGCTTCTGAAAGATCGTCAACAGTGGAAGGAGAGCCAACCATAACCATAAGGCACGCACGATACAACGCGTCATACAAGATCGCCCACGCTTCTTCCTGCACGCCCTCCCACCCGTCTCCGTCTCCAACGAGCCTACGCAGCGTCGGCAGCGCCTCCCACATCTCCTCCATGAACGCACCCGGGGTCGCACTCCCGATGCGGTACCCGACGGCCCCGAGGACGTCGCGCTGCGCGCCCTCGAGGTCCTCGAACGCCATCTCGTGTGGTGCGAGGTCGAGGAACTCGTGCGCGTAGATGACGTCGAGCGGAAAGAGCACGTCGCGGTGAAACTTGACGCTCAGCGCAAGGCACGCGACGACGGCGTCCCAGGTCGTCGCCTCGAGCGCCTCCTGGTCCTCAGAGGAGACGCTGGCGGTGTCTTCGGAGGCGGCGGACGAGGGCGCGGTGCGCGCGAGGGAGAGGTAGCGCATGAAGAGGTAGCCTGCGTGGAAGCGTACTACCGCGGAGGTGGATAGGAGGTCGTATAAGTCTCCTGGTGAGTAGGATGTCTTGTAGTCGTCCAATGGCATGACCTGCACATGCGCATATAGTCAGTCATGGCATAGCTGGATCAGACACAATGGCTGGGCGACCTCAGTCAACCACTGGATGGCTTGCTCTAGAAGTCGTTCTTCGATGTCGAGCTCAACTGAGTGACTTGATAGGGTAGCACGGCGCCTGAGCTGTGGCGAGTTGACAGTTCCGGCGTGCAAGTCGTCCAATGTTGCCAGATACTCTGAGTCCCCGTTGTCACTACTACCATTCTCATCTTCGTTATCTTCATCTTTTTGTCCATGTTGATTGGCAGGATCGGCCTGGTCCAATACAGGTGCAGAGCTCAATCCATCGGCATCTCTCTCCTCGCGCTCCCTAGCCAAGAGAACCAACAGTCGTCGGTCAGCAGTGTCTTCATGAGACAGAGGAGCCCTTGGTATGGATTCGAAAGTCGGAGGTGCGATGATCGGTATACGGTCCAGTTGAGGTTCAGACGCAGATTTCGGAGACGCTTCAGCTTGAACATCATTGGCGGTAGGGGTAGTCGGGACAGTTGGAGCATATCCGCCGAAATGCGACGCGATAGATCCTACGATCACAGGAAGACGTTGAGGACGGCTTGCATTAGTTGAGTCAGAGGAGTCCTGGGAAGTCCCGCCGATCACCTATCCCGGGTCAGTGTGAAAGTTCAACGAGAGCTCTGATGCCGGATCCACCTCGTTCAGGACCTCTTCCTCGTCTGCGGCGGAGAACTCCGTCCGCAATGACTCGGCGCGACGTAAACTTCCAGGTCCCCTAGCATACTGTAGTTTGAAGGCACCAGATAGTCGCACAGTAGTACCGTTTGTCGTGTGAGATGCAGAGTTCGATACGCGCCGAGGACGAGCGGAGAGCTTGCGTTTCTTCTGGAATCTCGCCGGCTGGTTAGTGTAATGGGATATCGCCGCCGCATTACTAGCTGGGTCGGCAGGTAAGTCGTCAGAGGTAGAAGCGCGACGCTTCCTAGAGCCATTGGTGCCTGTACCAGATGCGACTGAGACTCGAGATCTTGCACTATTCGACGGAAGAGCACAGCCTGAGCTAGTTCTTGATGTACCCTGTACAGCTCGCAAGAGATGTTCTAGCTTTTGTAGGAAGGGGGAAGGGGGATCTGAGTCGAGTGCTTGATGTATGCGCTCATTTTGATGTGACGATGGCCGCCCCGCTGCGTGTTCGTGTTCCAAACAGTCCGGAGGCGTGATTGCGACTGGAGATGAAGAGGGCGGAGAAGACGCAGGTGCGATACTGGTAGTGTCGACCATGGAGAGAAAGTCCTCGACTATATGCGTTGAATCTTGCACCGCGTGAGTAGAAAGCATGCCAAGTCCAGTTAGCCTGAGGGCTAGATGGATGCAGAGGAATTGCGGTTGACTGCGTCAGATAGGGCGTTGGTGTATTGGACCAGTTTGCGAGAGGACGATGGTCAAGAGACTCAAGCTCTGGGCAGACTAGGCTAGACCCTAGGCCTATAGGCTAAGGCAGAGCCGCAGTGGGGACACTGGGGAGAGCAAAAGACGTCGCAGTTGTTTTAGCTAATATACTACTGCTAGGAAAGCGTTTATACGGGCACTTGGCACAGTGGTAGCGCGCACGCTTCGCATGATCCGGGGGATTCAACCCCCAAGTCAAGTGACTGCGTGAGGTCGGGAGTTCAATCCTCCCAGTGTCCATTTTGCTTTCCTTGTAGTGCATGTTGATCACTTAGGTTTTGCACTACAATCTCAAGGGGACGTGAATGTCAGGCTGTCGTATGGTCCAAACGACCAAACAATTGTATGTTTGGAATCGCACACAATGGCAATATCCCTTTGCGAGTTCTGCTACACCAACAATGCTACAATGTTCATATTCGTACACCGTCGATACATACACAGAACGTATGGAACACATCATATATAGAACATGGTATCCTTCAACGACCCGCCGACCCCGTTGGAGCTCTTGTCGTGGCGCCAGAGCCGCCGCGCCTCCTGCATGACCTCCTCGTGGTCCCCGCTGCTGCTCGTCGCCGTCGTGCCGCTGTCCGAGATGCCCTGGAGGAGCGGGTGGATGTAGCACCGGCCGCGCTCGCAGGCGAGGTCGGCATAGTACGCGGGGGAGACGAGGCTGACCGCCTTGGTCGCGCGCGCGAACATGTAGCTCACGTCGTTCGTCAATCCCTGCAGCTGGTCCGCGCCAATCGCGTTCTCGTCGTGCACGACGTAGTAGTGCGTCGGCCGGGTGGTCCCTTGGAGTCCTGGGGTAGAGCTGAGCACGAATATCGCGTCGGGCAGACGCAGAACTCACCTCCGTGCGCCTGCAGATAGAAGTCGTACTCGTACACGGCCGTCGCGCCGCGATCGACGACGGTGCCAGGCCTGGGGTTGCCGTCGTGAGCCGCGTGGGCGGCCTCCATGGGGAAGAACCGGGTGTGGTGGCGCTTGCCGCAGATGACGATCGTCAGCTTCGGGTTGTACCTCTGGCCCCCGCCGACCTTGCGGAAGGCCTCGCGCATCTGCGGCATCTCCTCGTTGACCACGGTCGAGAATTGACCCTTGTCGGGCGTCAGAACGATACCACAGTACTGTACCGCGTAGACGCACCTCGGAGACACCGTCACGATAGACGAGTACACGGGAGGGGAGGGCGCCGTTGTTCTTGGCCCGGTAGGCCTGCAGGCGCTCCACAAACATCGCCTCGAGGTCCGAGATCATCTACATCATGCTCAGCGGCATCTTACATTCCGGGGAGACCGCGCTTGCCTCTTTCTTGGACTCCTGGATACGCAAACTCGCAGGGAACTGGCCCATGCGCTTGTCCACGCTCGCAACGACAGCCGCGACTGACGGCGTGCCCCTCACAGTGCCGACACCGGGGTGCGTGACGTCCATCCCCACGAGCATCGTCGGCTCCCTGTTCAGCCATGCCATGTTGTTCTCCGCGAGCTCGTGGTTCACGCCGCCGAGCTTCATATTGAACTTGAGCGCGACGTTCGCAAAGTATTGTATTTGCCCTTTCTCCTTCCTGATCTTCGCAGCATGCACGCACACCGTCGCCACGTCGAGGAACACGTCGCACAGATGCTTCAGCCCAGAGTACACGTGCCGGTTCCCGTCCGAGAGCACGACGAGTACGATGCGTGGCTTCGGGCGCAGGCCCAGAAGCGCGTCCCGGATCTTCTGGATCGCGCCCTTGCGGAGCGGGTCCTCGGAGGTCTTCCGCGGGAGCTGTGCGACGGTGATCTGGGGCGCCGCCGCGTCGACTTGCATCCCGCTCTTCCTGCACATGTCCGCAAAGCCGCGCCAAGTCCGCTCGAGCTCGGGATCGTTCGGACCTGCAAACTCGTCTCGCGAGTTCCCGTCTTGGATGAGCAGGATGGCCCATTGCGCGAGCCGCGCCCCTACGGAGAAGCGCACCCCACGCAGGTTCCACGACCCGCGCTCGTCGACGGCGGGCGGGTTGCCTCCTTGGTAACGTACAACGGGTGGCGGGAGAATGCGGCCGGGCACAACCGCCATCTGGTTGCCGACGGTGATCCCGAACGAGTTGGCGGGCGGAGGAGTCTGAGCCAGACCAAGTTCCATAAGACCGCGATTCACGATCGCGTCTCCATTGACATTGGGATACTGGCACGCGACCGTCAGCATGTTCGAAGTGAGTTCATCTGGGACTTTCCCCCTGAAGGGTTGCTTCTCAAGGATGATGCAGAGCTCAGCCGGGAGAAGGTTCTGCTTCTGGCCGCCGACGTCGATGAGAGGCAGCTCAGGGTACCGGAGCCGAATCTTGTACTCTGAATTTACAGTCAGTGCACTACCGGGAACAGGACGCAGTCGGAACTTACTCTTCAGGAAGTATTGCTCTACAGTGACTTCACCCATGCCCTCGGCGGTAAAGCGGTGCTGGCGCGCATTCACCTTTGCAACGGTCTTGGCCGTCTTCCTATAGCCTAGATGCGTCGTCTTGACGCGTACACCCCTCACAAAGGAGGCAAGGCGGGGGTTGGGGCCGATGTTCATGAACTCCATCATGCGCTCCGCCAAGTTCCCTGGGATATAGAACGCAGTCGTGCATACGTTCACGTTCACCATCAGCTGCTTCCACGCCGGGCGCACCGACGAATAGAATCCGCGCCACGCCTCCAGCCCGCCGCCGAGCAGGACGGGCGGGACCATCGGGGACGGGTGGAAGTACTTGTTCCGCCCGACCATGACGCCCCCGCCCGCAACGCGATTCGGATATGCAGAAAGAATAATGTTCATGGCGTTGACGACGGGCATGAAGTCGTAGTTCCGCTGTTGCGGTTGTCCCTCTAGGTAACTTCATGCACGAAGAAGTCAGTAGAGGGACGCGCCGACCCGAGATGAACAGATGGATGGCGGAGATGTCACCAGGGATGGAGGCGTCAGCATATGAGGGGCAGGCGTCACGATAAGGCAGAACGTGTTGTCGTGCACCAGGCCCTCATAACACTGTCACCTCCAAGGGAGATTGGAAGTGCGCATATAACGAGTACGTACCCGACGAGACCTTGCGTATCGATAGCCTGGATGAACTTGATGGTGAGAGTGTATTCCTTGGGATCTCTAGGCTTGTCGCGTTGCTCGTCCTCTTCGTCCTCATCCGTGTATTGGATCTTCAGAGCGAGTGGAGCTTGCAACTTGAATGATGCATAGAGCTTCGCAGCATGGTCATGAGCGACCCGGCCAGTCAAATGAGCCTGCTTCCATTCGTTCGTCTGCTCCGCGAGGTAGAAGATCCGTCGCTTGAGCCGCTTGTTGTTCGCAGGGGGTTCGATGGCGACATCGTACTCGTAGATGGGGCCCTTGGGCATGGAAATGGGGAAGAAATTGGTGCGCAGCTTAATGGGGGTGCCTGCAGTGCCAAACCCTGGCCGAGACGGAAGGTCGCTGTCCTTGAGCTGCACGGAGCGCATAGACACGACGAGCGCATCCTGAGACTGATCCGTCAAACGCGCGTCGATGGTCGCAGGTACGTTCGCTGCGAACACTCTGTCCGACGATGAGCGTCCATCCTTGAAGGACAGTAAGCCACTCACCCTCCACGCCCGCGCCCTCCGCCGAAGCTTCCGCGGTCACTACCTCTGAAACCCCCGCGATCTCCTCTGAAACCTCCCCGGTCACCACCTCGATATCCTCCTCGATCACCTCCACGAAATCCTCCTCGATCGCCTCCACGATATGCTCCTCGGTCGCCACCGCGGCTGTATCCTGTAGAGCTCGGGGCAGGGCTCCCGCGACCACCGCGTCCCCCGCCTCCGCCTCCGCCTCTTCCGCCTCGGTCTTGTCCGCGTCCGCGTCCTCCCATGGAAAGTCAAAGGAGGGATAGGTGTGTAAGGGTGTAGATGGGGTTACAGGAAGAGAGAGGTACCCCCACGAGGCATTTACAGTACCCGCGAGACAGGTGCTCCGGCGCGGAGCCTGCGCGGGGCGCTGAGCCTCGGACGAGTCATGGGCGCCTGATCTGCATGTAGCTGCGGTAAGTAACGGCAAACCACCTGCCAATCTGGGTTCGGTAGTACTAGTATTGGCATCTACGGCCTGGGCTCTGCTACCGTGACGGTGCTCCTTGTCATTGTCCTCTTGGTATCTGTCTAACGTTCAGCACGACGACCCCCCTTAATGTTACCTCACAGGCAGCGAAAAGACTTGGAAACTTCACCGCCCGCTATCGTCGCATGGGAACCACGTGTTTGGCGTCCTTGCCATGACCATTGACTGAGCCAGACCGTCCAACGTCCATGGCCTTCACTGCCTCCGAATATAGGCTGCGCGCACGGGGAAGGGTATTCGACGCTCATTCCAGGCCAACGATGGATCCCGGGACGACCACAGCGTACCACATTCCCCACGACGTCTTCGGGAGTCACGTCAGGAATTGTACCCGGGATGCAACTGAACCGCACTCACTGCGCATGCACCATGCTGGTGGACATTCGACGCTGTGCCCGCGATCCTCGCCCGGCCCTGTGCCCCTCATCTCCCGGTGGGTACTCGGACATTGGCCAAGGACTCGGAGTTGGAGTTCGAGGCTACCCACGGTGAAGGTCACCTGCCGCAGCCACAGCAATAGAATCAAGGTCCACCGACACCGGCTGGCCATGTCACTCAGTTGCGAGTATGTTTCTGGGGGGTGGGGAGCACATTGTAGGTGGGTAGAAAGAGTATGCATGGATCCGATTCACGTAAAGGACTGGCAGCCCGTTGACTTCGACGCAAATTCACACAGGGAAGATTGCATCTACAGCCGAGTCGTCAGTGTCAGCGACATTGTGCACGCAAGCCACCGGGGCGCAGGCAAACCGTGTATGTACGATGGACACTAATACTACCTACATATACAACAAACAAACATACACAGCACCATACATAAAGATGGCGAATGAAAAGCGATAGCGACGGGTAGCAAGAGACCAGATATGTACGTAAATACGCTCACAATCCGCACGAACATACGTCCCAACAGGCAAGGAAGAGAGACGAAGACAAGACGCAAGAAGCACACGAGAAACTTGATCGCCAGATGGACCAGCCTTAGGCCCAGGCTAATACTCCTGCACATCAGCGTCGGACAGCGAGGCATACTCGCTCTCCGTCCTATCATCGTCCGCGTAGTATTCCTGCACGACTTCCTGCATGGCATATCGCATAATCGGCGTGATCGGCACGAGCTT